AGAGTTTCTTTTCACCAGGAAATAAAGAGCTACTGTGCAAGAAAGGTGGCTGTGTAAGCAGTATTAAAGACAGAGTTTTATTGAATTGGATTTACCTTGGTTTTATTCAGAAATGTCATGTTCGGTATGTAATGCATGAACTTAAGCACGTTCAGCCATGAGGATGCTGAAATCTTTGATAAGACTATGAACTAGAAATAGTTAGGTTGAAGATTAGAGATTTGTGAATGCAGCTGATTTCTTTTGCAGTTCTAAAGAAAGGGAAGAGACGAACTCCCATTTCCCCCCCCATCCCATTTCTTGTAACAGGCTCACTAAGTCTGACTTCATCCTTCCATAAAACCAGTTGTGGTGCTTGTATCACTCAAAGGCTTTGGGGTATCTTCGTTTTAATGCGCATCATATATTTTTTTTAGAAAAATATGAGTAAATTTAGTGTAGAAGATGACCTGAGGGAGGGGTCAAACTTGTCATCAGCCCCGAGTCCCTGTGCGCCCGCAAGAGCTCTCAAGTTCAGCTTACCTTGAATTCCTTTCTCTTAACACCCGCTAATTTCCCTTGACTGTTAGTAGTTCAGATTCTTGTGGAGAACATAAACTTACCATAAATCTTTATACCCTCCTGAATTCCCCAGTGCTTGACGTGGTTATAGTCTTTCTAGGGTTCAGTAATTAAATAGTTTTTCAGGAACTCTTCTTCACTCTTCCTCATTTCTTTAGGTCTGTGGTTTACCAGCAGAGTTCGAAAGAATCTGCAACTCTGCAGCCATTTTTCACTCTGCAATTGGATATCCAATCCGATAGGATACGGACTGTTCAGGATGCCCTAGAGAGCTTGGTGGCAAGAGAGTCTGTCCAGGGCTACACCACAAAAACCAAGCAAGAGGTAGGTGTTCTCCGGACAGTAAAGTATGTGCTTAAGATGCTTGGTATTGTACACAAGTGAGTCCTCGGCCTACGACCACAGTTGGACCCAGAATTTCTCTTGGCTAAGTGAGTTTTGCCCCATTTTACCACCTTTGCTGCCACAGTCGTTAAGTGAATCACTGCAGTTGTTAGCAACATGGTTGTTAAGTGAATCTGGTTTCCCCATGGACTTTGCTGGTCAGATGATCACATGACCATGAGGCTGTTGCAACAGTCATAAGTGCGAAAAACGGTCATAAGTCCCCTTTTTGTGTGTATGTGTGTCTGTGTGTGTTGCTGAAACCTCTTGCAACCACCAGCAAATTGAGTGCCCTTCTGCTTTCTTGCATTGGTTAGCCAAACTAACGCACAGTTGATAGAACTGTTACATGCCTCGTGGTATTTTTCCACTGCAGCAGGTTGGCATATTAGCATAATCATTTTTTATTTGTTTAAAAAGGAGCCTTAATGCAGGAGGCCCAAGGAATCTTTGCAAACATTGATGCACCATACGCTAGAAAAGAGTTGGCATTTCCACACTGTTTTAAGCATTGAGGATTTGGGGGGGGGGGAGGCCGCCTGCCTGGAAAAACCAAGAGTGAGAATGTGTTGCCTTGCAAAACGATGTGTGGGCATATGCAGCCTGTCTGGATTTGATGTCTGACACTTTTGGGAGGAGGGGGTGGGTGGGAGAACATCTCCCTGGCTGCCTGAGAGGCTTCCTTGTACGGGGATAAATCCTCCTTCCCCCTTGGATTTACCACCTACGTTTTCCTTGGCCAGGCCCTCGCTTTTGGGGTTTGCAATGTACGTGGTTTTAGTCTTCTCATTTATTTGTAAACTCAAACGTTTCAATTATGGTTTGTAGAAAAGAGGATGTTCGCTTTAAGGTGCTAGTCTTGTCTGATTTATGTGTTAGTGTCCTGTCGGACAAGTATCACAACCATTTTTTTAAAAAAACTCTCTTAAAATGACCATGAATGTAATGTGCTTCAAGTTTTGCACTTCGTAGCATTTCTTAACATTTGTTTGATTGATTTCTATAGCTGCCTGTCTCAGTAAATGACTCTTGGGCAGCTTACAGTTCAAAAATATACACTACTATTAAAATTTAACATTTTAAAACAAGAAAAGTGTACATTAAGCTTGTAGTTTCCTGGCTATAAGACAGAAGCAGTCTCTTTGACTCAGTGATTAATTTTTTAGCCAGAGCCAGGAAGAAAGAGTGAAAATTAGGGTAATTGCAAGCTTCAAGTACTGTTTCTGGGTAATCTAGAAAACAACTCCCTTTGTCCTGATTTGGAAATTTCCCAGCTGACCTCGAATTCTGAACTCAGCTGAGTTCCAGTATATCTATAAGCTTCTTTTGTCTCCTTTTTGACAAGTCTTGGATGAAATTTCAAGGGAGTTATCCATAGTTTTATCCTTAATTTTCTTTAGCTATTTTTACACAAATTCCCTAAGCCACAAAGATGAGACTAGTTAAGGAATCTGAAACATTTGAAAAGGAGGCACACAGATTTTTTTAAATGAAGAAGCTTCAAAGCATTTTCCTTCTCTGCCTTGCTCCTTTCAGAAACGTCCTGCTTTTTTAAAAATTGTATGGAAATGACAAACCAATCTTGCTCCCTTACTTATTTATTTTGCCTTATTTGTACTCCAGCCCAATCTTTAAGGACTGTATACAGCAACATGAGGGATCAGCAAGGCTACAAAGAAAGCCGTATAATCCATGGGTGTAACAACTGTGCAAAGTATCGATTGCCAGTTGGGTTGATTTTGACAATTGCATTGGTGGAAATGGGAGATTCAGTTCAAATCCTGCTTTTGCTCCGCCAGGTAGAGATTAGTCGAAGAGTAACGTTGGAAGAGCTGCCTCCTGTCCTGGTGCTGCACCTCAAGCGGTTCGTCTATGAAAAAACAGGCGGGTGCCAGAAGCTCATTAAAAACATCGAATATCCTGTTGACCTGGAAATAAGTAAAGGTGAATTTCGTGAACAGAGCAGCCGTTTACTGGTTTACTGCTTTGGTGTAGCTTTTTAACAGTCATCCATCTCTATCTCTAAATACTTCTCCGTAAAACATTTTCCTTGCAGAAGTTCCAAGGTTATCATGCCTCAGACATTCTTTCTTGGCAGGATAAAACTCTTGCTACATTTTAATTGTACTATTTTGACAAGTGTAATCTTTAGTATCGCCTCCCCCCCCTCCCCCAATAGTTTTGACGTATAAATCGGCTTTAAACTTTACTCACCTTTTAAATTATTAGCGATTGTGTGGCTGTGAGAGAGGGATCCTAGCTGAAGGTGAGCAAACACACTCTCCGTGTGCTTCCCAAGTCACTTTTATATTACCGAAGTGTAACTCCTACACAGGGGCAAATTTGGTGGTTTCTTCCAGATGTGCTTGAAGCAAAAACATACACCATTTTCAGACCCAAGACAACCTGTGTGCCAAAATTGTTTTGCATTGAAATAAATCCTTTTTATGTTTTGCTTGTCCAAATTTTGGCTGGAATCAAGCCCTTCTGGAGCTTAATTTTACGAGGTAGGGGCCTCCAGCCTTGGCAATCTTTACGACTTGTGGGTTTCAACTCCCATGCTGGCTGGGGAATTCTGGGAGTTGAAGTCCACAAGTCATGAAGTTGCCAAGGTTGGTGACCCCTATCACGAGGCAAATGTGGCCAGGTGGGTTTGTTCATTATCCCTCCTGTCAAGTTCAAAACAGCTAAAAGGAAACTCCCTGGAAAAATCCTTGCATTTCTTGGGCCACTGCAGCTGAATGGAGGCGCTAAGGCCAACAGATTCTTGTCAGCTGCCTGCTTGAGTTCACCCCGTCCCTTGCTTGATTGCATGTAAAAAAGAACAGCCAGAAGTTCTTTTCGAGCCTCCCAGAGGTGCTAATTCACCACATATTCTGTGTCCTGTTTCAGAGCTGCTGTCGCCAGGAGTGAAAAGTAAGATTTTTAAAGGCCAAAGAACCTACCGGCTCTTTGCAGGTATGTAGTCTTTACCCCATAAGGTCAAGAATTTTGTAAAAATTCATTTTGGCTCCTTCCCTTCCTAAATCTAAAGCAGTCGATAATTCTACAAGCAAAAGTTTAGAATTGTGAAATTGCAGGACCTGGAGTTAGGATCCTAATTAGATCCTATTCTGTAAATCAAAGAAACGCGAATTAAATTGCTCTACGCTTCCCACTTGTGAGGGCAAAAATCTAACCTTTAGCAGCTGGAACTTTGTTCGAGAGAGGCATCGCTATGGATTGCAAGAGATAATTGCTTGGATTATGGTCGGGAGGAGGATATTTCTTAAATTTGTAATCATTTCTTAGTTGCACAAATTGGGGTGGGGTGGGGTTGCACAGCTGCTACAAAAAAACCCCCATATATCTCTCAAACACTCCAAGGGGTAGAAAGATAATATGATTTTTTTCCCCTTGGCCTCTTAACGCTCTGTAAAATCACCAAATGTTAAATCACCACTGTGATTTTTCAGTAATGCTGTAGCAAGCGCAAAGCTTCAGGGAAATATAAACATATTGAGGTGACAGCAGAAATGGACCCAGCTAGGCAGAGATGAGCAACTAGGCAATTTTACGGCCTGTGGACTTCCAACTCCTATAATCCTGGCTTGGGAATTCTGGGAGTTGAAGTCCACAAGGCCGTAAAGTTGCCATACCCCTGGCTCTAGACAAACCGGCTCTTTTTGCAACTTGTTGGTCCAGTTTTGCCTGCCCGTTTCCCATTAACAATTTTATTTTTTAAATTTAATTTCTTGGCAGTTGTCTACCATCATGGAAACAGCGCGACTGGTGGACACTATACTACAGATGTCTTTCAGATTGGTCTTAATGGCTGGCTGCGCATAGATGACCAAGCTGTCAAAGTAATTACTCAACACCAGGTGGTAAAACCATCAGCCGAGCGCACAGCCTACCTCCTGTACTATCGCCGAGTTGACCTGCTTTGAAACCTCCAATCTTCTGCTGTGTTTGCCAGATTATCCGCTTTCTAGAAGGCCAACTCTCTTCTCCTCTCTCCTTCCCCTTTCTTTTTCAGTGATCTTCAGAGGCTCCTCTTCTCTCTCTCCTCTCCTCTCCTCTCTCCTCCTCCCCTTTTGCAACTAGAGGAAAGGGGGAAAGTTCCTTTCCAGAGGTGTGCAAACACAACCTAGTTGGTGTTGCTTATTGACTTGGCAGAATGAAGTCTTTGGGCTTAAAACAACTCACTTTTTTTGTGAATCCCATGGAGGTTGTGGGGTTTTCTTTGTTTCCTTTCTTTTCCTTTTTCTTTTCCTTTTCCTTTTCCTTTTCCTTTTTTTGGCGCTAACGCTAAATCCTAAGAGATTAAAATGGGATTTGCAATGGATTCCCACTTTCTAAATGCATAATAGGAACANTTTTCCTTCCCTCCCTCATATCCTTCTTTCTTTTTCTTCCTTCCTTCTCCTTCCCTCATTCTCTCTCTCTTTTCCTTTTCCTTATTTCCTTACTTACTTATTTTCCTTCCCTCCCTCATATCCTTATTTCTTTTCCTTACTTCCTCCCTCCCTCTCTTTTTTCCTTTCTCGCAGGAGAGAAAGCAGACAAGGTAAGGTTTGGGGTTAGAAACCACCTTACCAAATTCCACATTTTGGAATCGTACCAAAGATTCAGGAGTGTGCAAGCCTTAAAGGGGGATGCACGACTTTCCTATCCCTGGGGCAGCTCTAAGAGCTGAACTGCAGCTTCCTTAATGAGGCCAAGTGAACTTTCAGTCCCTTTCAGCTTTGCTTCGAGTTGGGTGCCAAGTGTTTGCGATGTGTTTGCTTGCTTTCAGATTAGCAGGGCACACACCCAGAAAATAGGGTGAAGTATCTTTTGTGGACCTACCTTGAGCCAGTCGAAAGAGTGTGGTGGTTTTATTCCCAAGTATCAAGTTATAACAGAACAAGGATCAGATCTTTGCCTGCTTTGAATGGATCCATTTTTACCCAGTGGGCTGCAGAGCATAATATAGAAATGCCACTTCATGATCATTTTAATTTCTCCAATCTCCTCCTTTAACTAGGGAAAACATTGCTTGCGTTGTCTCTTCATTGCGTTGGCCTAATCCTAGACTAATGTACTTATTATAGAAAGCCTATTCCATTCAATGGGATTCAAATATGCTCAGTAATTGCAATTTACATCAAATAGTGGTTGAAGTACTTGTGACGGGGTCCTTGGTGCTCTCTGAGCTTGGTGGTTTTCTTGCAGATGTTTCATTACCCAAAATATGGTAGGTAACATCATCCATGAGCCACAAATATTATCCTTTATAAGTATTTTATGGTTATTTGAAGGAAAATTTGAAGAAGATTGCCCAAAAATGTAAATATTTTAATGGAAAACTGAAGCTACCAACCCCAAGTAGATTGCTCCGTGAGTTTGTATGGACAAGGACCAGATTTCCTTTGTGAAATCTTCTTCTCTCCCCGATTCTCTAAGCGGTTCAATCAGTCAGTCATTAAAAGAATGTATATTTTGGATCTATGCTGTTTGCATTTTCAAAACTTGAGAGCTCCAGCAATTTAGCCCAATGTTACAAAAAGGAGTTAATGTTGTAAAGCCACTGAAGACGAATCATCTTTGTGAGCCAGTAGAGACTGACTCTCTCTTTACATAGAAGTTTAGAATTCCCCAAATTAATATTCCTCTATCTCTGTCACATGCACAACATTTTAAGGGCAGCGTAGACCCAAAATGTACATTGCTTTAATGATAATGGGTTGACCTGCTTAGATAAGATTAGGATGAGAAGAAAGTCTTACAAATGAAACGCAGGTCCTTGCCCATCCAAATTCACTGCCTTCTACTCTGGGCAAATCCTCAGAAACAATTGCCAACTCAGTAGGAATTCTTTGGAAGGCCAACTTCAGGCCATGCCCTTGAGCACTTTCTCTTCCTCTGCTGGTGAGCCACGAGTAAGGAGCCCATCTTATGTTTCTTAGCATGTTCTGTCTCCTCTGCCTGTCCTAACCAAGAATGACGATCATGTCTGCTAATAAATCTCTCTGATATATTTTGTTACCCCTCCAATCCAACCCAACCTCCCCCCAAAAAATGTTGTTACCTACTTATTGCCATGGGGGAGGAGTGGGAGAAATAGAGAATGCCAAACCACGACATTTCCAAGCAAGATTTCCTTTGATTTCCAAATGGAAAAGAGCTTCAGCGCTGATTGGCCAACTCAAGGATTTCCCCTTTGTCCTGACCTCCTTGATTAGTTTTCCACTTCAGCTCCATGTCTGCCTTCGGGAGGTGTTTTTTTTTTCCTGTGGACTTATGGATTGCTGATCAATCCCAGATGTTAAGGGAGCATCTGTAGCATGAGCTAGGTGGGTTTGTAAGGAGGTGAATATCTCTCCTTAAAGCAAATACAGCTGGACTCGATGGCAGCATGTTCCCTCAGAAGGAACTTACAGTCCATCTTTCTGAATTCCAAATCAAACAAACTTTTGTTGGAGTATTTTTCTCCCCCTAAGAGATCTTTAAATCTGCAAAACAATCTGTGCGATATCAAGAGATCTTTCTGGCTGTAGGTTTTCCAGTGCTGTTGAACATGAGATTCTCACCTTGTCTTGGGTTAGGGTCGCTGTCCATTTGATCTCTTTTTTTCTGGTTCTAATCCACATGGAGGCAAGGAAGGACCTTCTCTTCATTTCTGGACGTTCTTCCTTTCAGAAGAAAATGGGGAAAAAATCTGGAAGGGTGGCAGAATGATCAGCAAGGGCCCTCACCAAAACAAAACAGGGATTTTGGCAGAAGTCCCAACGGTTCCACCACAAAACCGCGTTCGACTAAAGCGCGCTCNTCAAGGAAAAAAAAAGTTTTCTCCTTTAAAAAAAAGAAAAAGAAATACTCTTAAAAAAATTTACAATATGCAGAGTTGCTGGTTTCTGATATGGGAAAAAAAAAACTCATTTTAATAATTGTGCGATGGAAAACTGCTTAAGTACACATTGCAGATCAAAATACTTGGAGTTAAAAATGTTAGTCTATATAGATGGGTGATTGTAACTTTATTGCTATTAAGAGATTTAAAAACTGCATTTATGCTTCTGTGTACATGGGATTTTAAAACAAAAAAAAATGGGCAAAATAATGAAGGTTGATATTTTCTTTTAGTCTGCTTTGTTTAATTTTGCTGTCTGCTCTCCTATAATGTTGAGTTCCTAAGTGTACACAGTGTAGTGATATCTAGGAGTATAAAGTTGTCGCCCATCAATAAAAAAAAAGTCACAAAGTTGGTTTAAAGCTTTTAAGAGTGTTCTTTGGGGAAGGGGATTCAGCTAAAAATAGCAGAATGGTAGAAGGTGGAGTGGAGGAAGCTGAAATGAAGGCTGGCTATTTGTAAGCTAAATAGACACACAGAAATGCGGTTTAGTTGCCCTTCATTTAAGGCAAATATATTGCGAAAAGTAATTGGGACATACCATTTGGCTCAAAGGGTATGATAAAAATAAGAGAATGGAATTGAAGGAACACCCATTTTTTGTTGAGGTTTGTTGAGATGGCCTTCATAATTGAAAGGGATGTTCGCGAGCAAGCTAGATAGGATCTGCCTCGTAGATGTCGCAAATGTCGATATGTGGAAATAAGCCAGACCTTGGACCTCATTCGTTTGGGTGAAGATATCAGGATACGGGGTTCTTAAGGATAAGAATAATGGGTCGTACACTACTTTGAGATTGCATGATTGGTGCAAGTGGTTATGGTAGGTATGCTGGGGGGAGAAATACTGTACGTAAGTAAGGATATTAAACTGGCATTTCCCTTTACAAAGTTGACATGTTCTAAAAGTTTCCTCTCCTTCCCATCTTCACTCCCTGCAAATGGTTTAAACCGGCTTACTTAAATTCTAGACAGTCCCAATCAAGACTTGGGACAGTGAAGTGAACCCCAAAGGATAAAAATGAGAAGGCGCAACCCTGCCAAATTGATTACAAATGCATTACAAGGGGAACCAAAGGCACGGTGGAGTAAGATTAGGAGGAAATGGAAGCAGGGAAGGGCCGGATGTATTTCCAAGGAAAACGTCCTTGGAATTTAAGACCTGTGGATTTCAACTCCTAAATAATCCCGAGCCAACTATTCTGGCTGGGGAATTCTGGGAGTTGAAGTCTACAAGTCTTTTAAAGTGTCCAAGGTTAGGCATCCCCCTTGTTCTAAGAACATTAGGCTTTTGCCAAGGAAACTTGCTACCTAGTCTACACAGGGCTACATTTTTAACAATACCAAGTAGAACTTCTAGCCACTAGGCTGAGTTTATCGTTTGGGGGAGAAGAATGGGAGAACAATTGTATCCGCAAATCCAGGAGATGCTTTTTCAAAAGCCAAGTATCCTTTCCATGTCTCTTACTGAGGATTATTTGAGTGACTGGAAGTCTTACCAAGCCCATTGGATCTTTGGAGTTTCAGATTTTTCTTGCGCAATTGAATTGAGTTGGCTCTACTTTTTGGGAAATTTGAAACCCATCTGCCAGAACATCTGTGAGTATGTAGCGTATCCTCCGGACCGGTTAGCAACTCCCTGCTGGGAGAAACTGTAAAATGGGAAGGGGAATATTAGAGAATTCAGAAATCAAGTCAGTGAGACGCTTCCCTTTCTCCACAGCCTGTGTTGAAAGAGATTGTACAGTCGCTGGACAGATAATGCAGCTGGAGAGCTGGCTGCAGGAACCCTTGGCAACGGGATCTGTTGCGTTAAGACTTTTAATGGCTTTTGAGCAGTTTAGAATAAAATAAGTGCCCTTTTAAAAGATTTGGTCATAACAGTTGCAATAAACAAGAATCACAGAGCCATAAACTCTAATGTAAACCAGACTTTTCCCCTCTGAAAAAGCTTGGACAAATATAATTTTTGCCTGGTGCTAAAAAAGCAGACGAAAAGCATATGTGGGAAAGGAGAAGCTTCCTCGTTTCAAAAGCCCATCGGAGTTGGTGGATATCAAAGGAGATAACTACTGGTTAACTACTGGTCAAGTTCATTAGGGGAAGAGGGAAGTCTTTCCGTCTTGAACCTGTGACCAGAAAGAAGCTTTGGGGCAGTAACACTACTAAGTATTGTTTGTTGTGTTATGTACTATGTTGGGGAGGAGTGTGAGCACCAGTCCTCTTCCGTTGGCATGGAGAACGCTCGGTTTGGCTTATCAAGGTGGCATCTCGCCACCTCAAGTGGCCCTTCCCATGAGTTGTCCTGGGAACATCAGAAGATACTTCCACACACCAATAAATCTTGTAGAGAAAGCCTCTTTTTACTATTAAAAGTGTTTGAGTGGGTTGTAGACCTGGAGTAACTAAAGAGACCTGTCTTTAGGTTGGGGGGGGGCGGGGCATCTTGCAAAGGCACCACATTATTCTGGCAATTAG